GGGAGGAGAGAAGAGTGAGAGTGCGAGAGAGAGTGATGAGGTAAGGTGAGAATGCGAGAGAGAGTAAGAGAGAGAGATAGGAGAGTAGGAGAGAGGGAAAGGGAGAGGAGAGGAGAGGGAGAGGGAGAGGAGAGGGGAAGGAGAGGAGAGTAGGAGAGAGGGGAAGAAAAGAGGGGGAGAGGGAGAGGGAGAAGAAGAGGGAGGGAAGGAGGGAGAGGGAAGGAGAAGGAGAAGGAGAGGGAGAGGGAGGGAGAGGAGAGAAGAAGGGAGAGGAGAGAGGAGAGGAGGAGAGAAGAGGAGGAAGAGGGGAGAGGAGGAGAGGAGAGGGAGAGGGAGAGGGAGAGGAGAGGAGAGGAGAAGGAGAGGGAGAGGGAAAGAGAAAGAGAGAGAGGCAGAAAGAGGGAGAGAGAGAGAGGGAGAGAGAGAGAGAGAGAGAGAGAGAGAGAGAGAGAGAGAGAGAGAGAGAGAGAGAGAGAGAGAGAGAGAGAGAGAGAGAGAGAGAGAGAAGAGAGCGTTAAAGAGAGAAAAAAAAAGAAAAAAAGAAAAGAAAGAAAAAAAACCACGCATCTTTACATTCAGCTGTAGCCACCGGCGCGCCTCCCTCCCTTCATAAAGAAAATAGACGTTTTATAGCGTGGGTATTTCGCCAATCCACCATCCATCTTTGCAAAATTCACTCCGAGGGGGAACCGAGGAGAGTGCGGGAGAAAAGTCAAACCCAGATATTCACGTCACAAGTTAAGTCACAGAAAGAGGACTCTCCATTGACTGGGAAGCAACGGAGGCAGGTTTTGAGACTTTGCATGCGGTGGTGGAGGAGGAGGGAGGAGGGGAAAGAAGGAGGGGGTGAAGGGGAAAAGAGGGAGGAGAGAGACAGAGAGTGAGAGTAAGAGTGAGAATGAGAATGAGAATTGAGAAAAGAGAGAGCGAGAGAAGAGGGGATAGGAGATGAGAAGAGAGAGAGAGAGAGAGAGAGAGAGAGAGAGAGAGAGAGAGGAGAGAGAGAGAGAGAGAGAGAGAGAGATGAGAGAGAGAGTGAGAGAGAAGAGAGAGAGGAGAGAGAGAGAGAGAGATGAGAGGGAGAAGAGAGAGAGAGAGGGGAAGAGAGAGAGAGAGAGGGGAAGAGAGAGAGAGAGAGAGAGAGCAGAGAGAGAGAGACAGAGAGAGAAGAGAGAGAGAGAGAAGAAGAGTTATGAGGGAGAGAGAGAGAGATAGAGAGAGGTATGAGAGGAGTAGGAAGGAGAGGAGGAAGAGAGAGAGAGAGAGAGAGAGAGAGAGAGAGAGATGAGCAGAGAGAGAGAGAGGATAGGAGATGAGAGGAGAGAGAAACAGAGAGAGAGAGAGAGAGAGAGAGGAGAGAGAATGAGAGAGAGAGAGAGAGAGAGAGAGAGAGAGAGAGGGAGAGAGAGAGAGAGAGAGAGAAAGTAAGGAAGAAGAAAGGAAGGAGGAGGGGGGCAGAGAGGGAGAAGGAGACGAGAAATAATTGCCAACAGGCATGTCATTCTGTCGTTAATCCTTTCCAGCAGTAACTATAATTGTTTTAATGACAGCGGTAGGTGAAAGCACTCTATTTTGCAAACACTTGCATATATGCAACGCACATATATATGTCGAGTGCGTTTGGAGTAAAACATGATTAGAGTAATACATTTAATGCATAGGATTGCTAGAGTTGCACACACACACACACACACACACACACACACACACACACACACACACACACACACACACACACACACACATACACACATATATATATATATATATATATACTATATATATATAAGAGAGAGAGAGAGGAGAGAGAGAGAGAGGAGAGAGAGAGAGAGAGAGAGAAAGAGAAATGTTATCATCAATGGCTCAAGAATTAAACAATCCCTTCTCCAGAATAGCAGAATAACTATATACTGAAACATACAACAAAATGCCATCCCTCATTTTGATCAAGTATGGCAAACCATGAAAACATTTCCTGACATGTACACCCGCGTCCGTAACCTGTTTACAAGATGCAAACACGACACAGGACATCCGCGCTCCCTTTTCTGCGCTCGCAATATGTTACAAATAGTATGTTGTGCCTATTCATTCATGCTGGCTTGGGACTTGCTTTCCCGACGGAGGAGGGAGTAAAGGCTTTCGTGTGTGCAGACTTATTATATGTACACATACATATACATACATACAGAAAATTATACAGCTGACGCACATACGCGCGCGTGAGCAGACACACACACACACACACACACACACACACACACACACACACACACACACACACACACACACACACACACACACACACACACACACACACACACACACACACACACACACACACACACACACACACACACACACACACACACACACACACACACACACACACACACACACACACACACACACACACACACTTGCACGCGCGGTATAGGTGGACGTGTATGCATATACGTATGTACACATACCACCGAACATGTGATTCCAAGAACAATTCCATTATGCTAACAACTGAATTATTGAATTTCGTGAGTTCATTATACATCTCAAAAACAAGACCCTGATTTCTATAACGAAGAGGCGATTTCGTCGAAAAATTAAAGACGAATAGAATGCTAAGAAACTTAGAAAACCAGCCATCCAGACCCCTCCCCCCCCCCCTCCCCCCTCCCATCGTCTCGACCTGGAGCCAAAATACATTCGATCGGCCACTTTATTTCGTCTTCAATCACAGCACTTCACTTTGTGCACTTACCCCGCGCCCCGCCCACTGTCAGGATGGGCGGGACCCTCCCTCTCCGCGGACAGGCACACGAGTCCGGACCAGGGGCTGCTGTTTGGGACTATTTCTGTGCTTTGTTGTTTTTTAACGATTGTTCTTTTTAATATATTCGGGGGTTGTATTTTTTTGTATGAGGTTGTGGGGAATGAAGTTCGTTCGATCGAGGCAAGTGTTTTTGTCGTTACTGTTATCGTTATCATTACCATGTCCATTATTATCATTACATTATCATTATGATTACCCTATTCATTATTATCATAATGATTACTATAATTCTCATCAGATCTTTACTACTGCTACAACTACTATTACAATAATTTTCATGATAATGATAATATTGATGATCATGATAATCATCATCATTATCATTATCCTTGTCATTATTATCATGAACATTATTAATATTACTATTATCATTATCATCATCATTGTTATCATTATCATTGTTATCATCACTTCATCATCATCCTTTTTATCATTATTATCATAATCTTATCATTACTATCACCATCACCATCATCATCATTGGATATTCTGACATAACTTTCTGGGACCTTCCGTAGAGAGGAGAGTGTATATTCCAGTGCTTCACTTGCACGCAGGAATCAGTGAAAATCAATGCTGAGGTTAAGTAAATCCAACACACAAGAGAGAAGGCAACGAATAATGCAACGTGCAATATGCAGCGAACAAGAGTGAGATAGAAGGGGAAAGAGAGAGAGAGAGAAGAGATAATTGTCACGGACTTTTTTTTTCACGGTCACTATATATCTTAATCTTCACACCATGCACAAGCTGAACACTCCCCCCTAAATTAGAACAAAGATCATATCTCCAATTTTCGAAATTAGGAGAAAGAATGGAGATAGAAGGAAAAAGTATAATCACAAACATTTTTTTTTTGGCACGGTTACTACATATTTCTCTAATTTTCATTATTTTTTTTCTCATTCCTAATCGCAGAAAATGGCAGCTTGAATAAAACACACCAAGCACAAGCTGAACACTCACCCTTAAGTGAGAGCGAAGATCATATCTCCAATTTTCGAAAATACGAGAAAGAATCCAAATAGCAGACAGTTGTTGCATGTTTCATCGCCGTGTCCAAACTTAGAAAAGCGCTGCAGTCTCTTTGCCAGGACAGCTGTTGATAACGCACCGGAAATTGCAAGAAAGTTCACGAACATGAAACGATCTATAACATTTCGATAATCCTAGTGGAATTTCAGTAGATTTTTTTTCTCTCTCCCTCTTTTTTCCACCAAACGCACAAAACGTTCTAATTATTATGACAGGAACTAATTATACTTAATGGCTAGTCTATTCTTAAGGACATTTGCAGTCAACATGCAATCCTTACCGAGCTTAAAGCAAGTATAAAATCTTTTATTCATTTTAGGATATTAAATGTATATACATTAACTTTTTTCAAATCAAGGTATTGAATTATTTATTATTTCCATTCATGAACTAGTAAACTAGGATTTTAAAGTGCTTTTGTTCAAGTGCATCTATTGCAAATCATAATCTAACATAACGATATAAAGACAAAACAAAACAAATCATTCTTAAAGCGATACCATTAGATACCAAATCAAAAGCTACATAAATAGAATCACACGAAAAAGGAAAGAAAAAAAATCCCGCTGCAGTTTTACTTGCTGCCGACAACTGTCAAGTGAAGCGGGTTTCTGTAAATCTCTGTCCGGCTGCTACATAAATCTTAGCGACGTGTTTGCGTTATATAAATCTCGAGCACACTCTTCACTGTCCTTCAGAATTCTGTACAAAATATTCCGCGTCTTCCGGCCCTTTGTAGAATCCGGATGGCTCTTGCCTATTCGGGAAAGTTTATCATCCGAAGACAAAAGAGGAGAGAGACATGCACGGAACGCGGTCAAGTTTTGTTGTTATTATGATTTCATTTCAGTGACACGACTTTCATCTAACGGGAGCGTCTCTTAATTGAATCTGCATCAGACCTTTCGCGAATGATACGTAAAAAAAAAGACAAATGACTGAAAAACAAAAGAACTCTCCCATTTTAAGTTTTCATTCGCATTTGTTATGTTCCGTTCGGCCCACATTCATTTACCTCTCCTTTGCAACAAATCACATCACGTTCAACAAAGCATTCCTACACAAAACAACACAGTAATGACAGCAAGAGTCCCAGAGTTAACAGCCAGTGACACGTCAACACGAAATGCAAAAGGCGCAGTAATGAAATGTTCACACAGCGACAGAGCAACACCTACCTTGAGGCCGTGATCAAACGCTTCCCGGAACAAATTGCATCAAAGTTCCAGACCTGTCGACGCTCAGCGACAGCTTAGGCGAGTTCAAGCTGTTCACTTAAGTAATTACCGAGCAAGGGCGAGAGAAAGGGAAAAACGAAAATGCGTACAATTCTTTTATCTTTTGAGGTATACCTTTATTTTCCAAGTATCGACCCTATGTATACAGTACACTTACAAAGGTAAAGGTAATACTTGCGAGTTTAGGTTATGTACTGTCATGTTTGCCTAATGCAATGCCAAACCACTAGCATTTTTCCATCAAAGTACAAACCTAAGACTCAGTTTATCATTCACATCGAATATCAGAGTGTCTCACACGAGGCTGAGATTCACACGAAGTTATTGCAAGAGCGACAATTCCCCGAGAGGAGAGCGTGCACACCCACTCCGAGCGACGGTGGGAACAACACTGAGCCACAGAGACCGATCGGCTCTTGCCTGGAACTTCACGGTAGCTGCAGGGACGGCACTCTCCCCGCATGCCCTGCCTGACCAGACACTGCCTGCTCCTTGCTGCCTGAGCCCCGCTGGCCCTCCCTCTCGCTGACCCTTCGCCTCGCCGCTACGTGACGCCACTCGGCCTGACCCTTTGACTTCTGGCCCGGCCCCCCTTGCCCACCGTGGCACTCTCGTGGCACTCCCGCTCGCCCGCTCCCTGACCCGTCACGTGGTTCACCTACACACCCGCCTTGCATGATTATTTTTACACCTACACTTGCATTGTGCAACGGGAATCGATTGTCATGCTAACCGGATTGCAGGCGCTCTGGCTCCAGACGGCACAAGACTACGTATGCAAACAAGCAAGATAGATTTGCAAATTTAACGCAAGTGATGACACTGAACAAACTACGACACCAAACGTACACGACGATCAAGCACACATTCAGCCACGTGTCAACCGTCTACACAAATTACAAAATTCGTCCTTCACAATATCACAGCATCTCCAACAACCTATTAATGGAGCCTTTTGTCTTTTCCTCGCTGGCGACCTTCCTTCGCCCATCTCAGCGGCCGACCCGACGAAACCTTTTGCTCTGCCAAGGGATTCGGAACCTAAGTCGATTACGTGGAATTCAGGCTAACCAATCCGCAAGCAGACACTCGTTACTAGTATAATTTGATTAATTTCACTTAGTCAAGTTTTAAGTCTCTCTCTCTCTCTCTCTCACCCAACCCATCCAACCAACCACACACACACACACACACACACACACACACACACACACACACACACACACACACACACACACACACACACACACACACCACACACACACACACACGCACACACACATATTTTCCTCACTCTACTCTCTCTTTTTTTTTTACTTCTCTCACTCCTCTCTTTCTCTCTTATTCCTCTTATTCTGATTCTTCTCTTCTTCCTCTTCCCTTTCCTCCCTCCCCAGGGTCTACCCCCTCCCCCTCTCCCTCCTGCTGAGGCGCCTTCCCCTTCCCTCTCCCCTCCTCCCCTTTCCCCTCCTTCCAGCCGGCTCGCCTCTCCTTCCTAGATGTCTCCTCTTCCCCCCCCCTATCCCTCTCTCCCCCATTCTCTTTCTCCCCTCGCCTCCATCTTCCCACTATCTCATCTCTCATCTTTCCCGTTCTCGCCTCTCCTCCCTTTTCCATCCTTTTCTCTTCCTCATTGCTCCTCTTGCCTCCCCAGTCACCTCGCCTATCCCCTGCTCTCCTCTCCATCCTATTCCCTTTCTGTTTCTCCCCTTCTGCTCCCTCGCCTCTCCATCTTATTCCCCTTTCTGTTTCTCCTTTTCCCTTCTCGTCTTCTTCCCTCACCGGGCGTGAGGAAGACCCTTTTCCTCCTCCTATTTCTCCCCTTCCCCCTCCTCGCCAAGCGCCTTCTCCTTTCTCCTTCTCCCATCTTAACCCTTTCCCCTCCTTCTCCACCCCAGGCTCGCCCCCCCTTTTCCCCTTCTTCCATCTTAATCCTTTCCCCCTTCCTATTTCCCCTCCTTCTCCACCCCAGGCGCGTCCCCTTCACCTTTCCCCTCCTCCACCCTCCTCCCCGCCGCCTCGCCTCTCCTTCCTAGACGCACCCTCTTCCCCTCCCCCTATCTCCTCTCTCCCCCGCTCCCTTTCTCCCCTCGCCTCCCCCTTCCCACTTTCTCGTCTCGTCCTCCCCCCCCCCCCTTTGTCTCCCCGAGGCCTTCGTCGACACCCAGTCCCTCTTAACTTCCCCCCGAGAGTATCTCCTTCACACCTGCCATCACCTGACAGTTTCCTGGTAACTTCCCTCATTAAGGAACTCACGAGATGCTGAGGCAACTTGCGTCGGGCCGCCGTTCATCGCCTCCAAGCCCTACCGATGGCGGGGAGGTGATCATTCTCCTCTTCCTTTCCTCCTCGCCGCCCGCCCTCCCTCTTCCTCCTCGTCTCTCCTCCTTCTCGAATTTTGAGGATGGGGAGGAGGGTGGGTGATGTGTGGTAGGAGAGGAAGGGGAATAGGGGAATAGGGAATGAAGGAAAGGGGAAATAGAGAATGAGGAGAAGGGGAAAGGGAAAGGGGAGGGGAGAAGGGCAGGGGGGGGGGCAGTGGGGAAAGGAGAAAAAAGGCAGGGGTAAGGCAAAAGGGGAAGGGAGAAGACAGAAGGGACAGGGGAAAAGAACAAGGGGCAGAGGTAAGGGGAAGGGCAGAGGCAGGTGACATGGGAAGGGGGCAGAGAGGGGGAAAGGGAAAGGAGAGAAGGGGAAAGGGCAGTGGGACTGGGGACAGGGGAAAGGAGAAAAGGGGAAGTGACAGGGGGAGAGGAACAGGGGCAGAGGACAGCTGACATGAGGAAGGGGAGAGGGGGAGGGGGAGGGGAAGGGGGTCAGGCAGCTGGGGGGGGTCACGATGGCTTCCACGCCTTTCTCTCTCGTTCCGTTGCCCTTTCTCATCTTTCTTGCTTCGTCATCGTCTTCTATTTTCGTTTTTCCTTGTCATTCAACCGTTTTATTTTCATCTAATTCCTTAAGAATATCTGTCTGGCTATCTATCTGTCTATCCAACTATGTCTATCGATCTATATATGTTTATCTATCTGTCTATCTATCCACTTATATGTCTATCTATTCATCTATCTGTCTATCTATCCATCTATATGTCTATCTATCTGTCTATCTATATCTGTTTATCTAGACATCTAAGTAACTCTATCTATTTAACTATTATGTATATCTATCTTCTATCTATCTATCTATTTATTATCTACCTATTATCTATTTTTACTTACGCATTTTCTCCTTTTCAGCATCTCTCCGAGGAGTAGGAAGATACGGATGAGAGGAAGGAGAGAAGAAGAAAGCGAGGAGGAAAAGGAAGAAAATGGAGAAGGAAAGGATGACGATGACGACGATGATGATGATGGTGATAGTTATAATGATAATAATAATGATAATGATAATATAAAATATGATAACGATAATAGTAATGATAATGATGATAGTAATAATAATGATAATGATAAAAGGAATGATAGTAATGATAATGATAACAACAATAATTATAATGAAAACAGTCGTAGAGCAGTAGCACTGATAGTAATAGTAGCCATATTGATAATGATAATGATGATAACAGTGATGATGATAAAAATAATGATATTAATGATAACTATAATAACAATGATGATTATAATAATAAAGTGGAATAATAATGGTTGTAAGAGAATAAGATAATACCAATAATAATGACTATAAAAATAATAATGATAACAAAAGTGATAAGAAAGGAGGAAGAAGGAAAGACGAAAAAGATAAAAAGGGAAAAAGAAAAAGACGAAGGTGAAGAAGAAGAAAAAGAAAAAAGACGAAACGAAGAGAAAAAGAAAAAGACGAAGAAGAAAAAGAAAAAGACGAATTAAAAAAAGAAAAAAAGAAAGGAAAAGAGGAGAAAACCAGAAATCAAAAGCAGAAAATAAGAGAAAGCAGAAGCAAAAGACAAAAATGAAGAGAAAAAAAGAAACGACAAAAAAGAAGAAAAGAAAAAGAAAATAGAAAGGAGCAGACTAAGAAGCAGCAGCTGCAGAGAAGAAGAAAAAGAAGACAAGAGAAAACGAAAAAAACTAGAAGACGAAAAGACGAATAGGAAAGGAGGACGAAAAAAAGACAAAAAGAAAAAAACATAAAATCGAGAAAAGAAACGCAAAAAAAGAAAAAAAAAAACTAAGAATAAGAATTAAAAAAAAAGAAAAAACTAGGAATAAGATTTATTCTAAATAAATAAAGAGCTAAGAATAGGAATTAAAAAGAAAGAAAAAGAATAGATTTAAAAGGAAAAAAGAAGCAAAGAAAAAACAAAGAATAAAAATCAATAAAAAAAGAAAAAAAACAAAGAATAAGAATAAAAAAAAACAAAAAAAACTAAATCTAAGTAAAAGACCCCGCTGGCGATGACGAAGGCGAGGGCGAAGGAAGAGGAAACATCAACTCGGATTCTCTCTTCGGAAGCAAGAAAGACTTACTCGAAAAAAACAGGAAAAAAGTGCCTTTCCTTTCAGCTCATTTATTGAAACAAGACACTCGGACTTTTAGACGAGTTTCTGCGGACTTACTACGTTTCAGGACTTGCTAAACTTTTTATCATTGCTGACTTGATTGTTATTATTTTATTATATTATTAATTATACTAGTATTGTAATTATCATCATTACTATATTATCATTACTACTATTGTCATTATCAACATTAACATCAGTATTATTGATCAGGACATACTAAACTTTTTATCGTTGTTAGCTTGATTTTTATTACTTTTTTATTGTTATTATCTTTATCATCATAATCACCATTACTATTATCAGCATTACTACTACTAGGATTGTAATTATCATCATTACTATTATCATTACTACTACTACTATTGTTATTATTATCCATTACCGTCATTAGGATTATTGATATTCATTAAAAACTTTTCTTCGACTTTCTCTTCTGCCTTTTTTTTCTTTTTCTTCCTCCTTTCCCTCTTATGCTGTTTCGTTTCTTCTTTTTTCCTTCACGTTATTTTCATTATTATATTTTCCTCTTTCTTT